TTCCTTAGTAGGTGTTCCAGGTCTGTGAGATTTTCTGCTAGTATTATTACTGGATGTGAAAGTGGTCTTTGTGGCAGAGTGCCTTCTACCAATTAAGGGTGGTGCATCGGCTGTAGCTCCACTTGGCCAGAGACCATTCTGATTTATAACCTTATAAAAGCCATATAAGAAATTTGTTTATGCAGAGCTGTCTTTGAAGACTCCTTGTAAACTACAGTTAGTTCAAAATACAGCTGTTAGCTATATTGCTACCTCAGGACAATAAAAACATATCTCCCCAGAGTTTAAACAACTGCACAGACTTCCAGCACATTTTGGCTCAGGTTCAAAGTACTGGTGTTGGCCTTTAATGCCCCAAATGGCTTGGAGTATGAGTACCTGATGTATTGTATTCTTCAACATGGATTCTTTCCCCATAAATTAAGATCATCCTTGGAGGCACTCATCTTGTTGTTTCTGCTGCTGAAGCCAGGTGGTGATGAGGAATAAGGCCTCTTGATGGTGGTACCTTGTGTATGAAATATTCTTTCCAAGGACACTCCCCTGGCACCTACTCTGATATCTTTCTATAATCAGGGGTCCATTCACACTACAGAATTACAGCGCTATTGTTTTACTTTAACTACCATGGTTCAATTATTTTGGCATCAGGGACATTTAGGATTATCGAATGCCTCAATAAACTACAAACTCCAAGATTCCATAGGATGTTGCCATAGCAGTGAAAGTGTAATAATAGCATTATAATTGTGCATTGTGAATAGGCCCCTGGTAAAGACTGAACTTAAAAAAAAAAATCTCATTTTTGCTGAACTTAAAAATTTCAAAGAAGTGTTTTATGCTGCTTTTTCACCTGTGGCCCATTTTCTTACTGTTAACTATCTATTTTATTACTTTATCCATAAATTACACCAGAAATGTTTGTACTGAGGACTAGTATACATATTATTAAAAATGAATAAATACATTGTAAAGAAGGGAGAGGAGCTGGGAAGGGGCTGCTTCAGTGAAGAGATCTCAGACAAGCCCCTTGAATTATTCCTAGGAACTGCTAGATGGTCCACCAGAAATTTATCTCCTTAACAACATGGTCGGTTAGGGAATGACTGGGAAATAAGTCTCTAAGCAAGCTTTAAAACTGTTCAGAAACAAATGCTGGGATTAAATTTCTACTCATACATTAAATCGTGAACGTTGCTCTGTAATGGATCTATTTATTGCTGAAATAAGGTTGGTCCTACAAATCAACGAGGTATTTTTGGGGGGTATGCAGCCAATGTGGTTTAGTGGTTTGAACATTGGACTATAACTCTGGAGATCAGGGTTTGATTCCCTGCTCAGCCGTAGAAATCCACTGGGTCACCTTGGGTGAATCACACATTCAGCCCCAGAAAACCTCATGATAGTTTCACCTAAGGCAGGGGTCCCCGGACTTTTTGATCCGGGGGTTTGCCAGCCCCCAGATCTTCCGGGGGGGCAGAGGCACGTGCGCATGCGCATGACTCCAGATGCCATTTTGGAAGACAAAATGGCTTCCGGTGGCAGGCGCGAGCAGTAGTGGCGGCGGCGGCAGCAGGACAGGCTGCGGGCCGGTAGAAAGGCCTCGAGAGGCCGGGGCCGGCCCATGGGCTGTAGTTTGGGGACCCCTGACCTAAGGGTTGCCATAAGTTGGAAATGATTTGAAGGGATACAGTACACCTGTTTAGGAATGGGAGGCACTGTACTTCAGTGGTTCCGTTCATTCCTCTTGGGAAGATTCCAGACGGTGTCGCTCGGGGACAGTTGCTCTTCAAAAACAGAGCTTAAATGTGGTGTCCCTCAGAGTGCCATCCTATCCCTGATGCTATTTAATATCTACATGAAGCCGCTGGGGGAGATCATCCATAGACATGGAGTGGGGAGTTATCAGTATGCTGATGACACCCAAATATATTTCTCCATGTCTCAGTCAGCAGCCATGATGGCAGATGGCAGTTCTTCCCTCAGTCAATGTCTCAAGGCGGTAATGGGCTGGATGAGGAAAAACCAACTCAAGCTGAATCCAGATAAAATGGAGGTACTCACACTAGGGCCCCCCAAACCAGGTATTGGGTCACAATCTCCAGTCCTGAATGGAGTCACGCTCTTCGCTAAGGACTGTGTTCACAGTTTGGGGGTGTTCCTAGACTGGTCACTTCACATGACAGATCAGGTGAATGCGACAGTTAGGAGTGCCTGTTATCAGCTTCAGCTGATACGCCATCTGCACCCCTTCCTGGAAGTAAGGGACCTAGAAACTCTGGTACATGTGCTGGTAACCTCATGACTCGACTTCTGAACGCATTCTACATGGGGCTACCATTATAACTAGTCTGGAAACTATAATTAGTACAAAACATGGCAGCCAGATTGATCACCGGGAAATCTAAGAGTGATCATATTACATCTGTTCTGAAATCTCTCCATTGGCTGCCAATTGGTTTCCGAGCACTGTATAAGGTGTTGATGATGACCTTTAAAGCCCTACATGGCTTGGGTCCAACCTATCTAAGGGATTGCCTTCTTCCATATAATCCGCCCCGCACCCTCAAGTCCTCTGGGAGGAATTTACTGCAACCAATAAAAACTAGATTAGCAGTAACCTCCCAGGGAACATTTTCTGCCACCGCTCCCAGACTGTGGAACACCTTGCCTGAAGAGATCTGTCAAATAACCAACTTGGATAGCTTTTAAAAAGCTATCAAGATAGATCTCTTCCAGCAGGCTTCCCAGAATAGACTACTTCACGTGAACTGTGCTTCTTCCCTGAAATACATCTCTGTTATACACTCCTATTGGTGTCCCAGAACATATGTTGTTTTAATCTTTATGCTTTTATTATTGTATTTAGTTTGGGGGGGGGTATTGTATTACAGTTTTATGCCATGTATGTTTTTAATCTGTATTTGTACTTGTAAGCTGCCTTGATTGCCAAGGCAAAAGGTGGAGTATAAGAAATAATAATAATAATAATAATAATAATAATAATGTTAAATATATTCTTTGATCAGCTGATTTCTGTATTTTACACCAATTGATATTTAAGTTTGATATTTGGTATCTGTTATATTTATCTGTATTTGATAGTTGACTTGCAGTGGTGCCGAGTGTTTGAATATTATGATAAGTAATATACAATGACATGTTAAACAGTTTTCGGAACTTTGACATTTAAACAGCACTTTTCATATCAATATCTGTTGAGGAACCTGCCATAGAATCCAAGCTTCCAATTTTTTTGTTCAATTTTGTTTCAAAAATGATCTTTGAAAAAGCCAGTATGTGGTTCACAAGTTTAGGCATGACAATTCTCCTCTCTTTTAACTAACATATATGAAACAAAGAATGATTATTATTATTCACAAGAGCTAACTTTAACAATTCTATATGGTGAACAAATTTGTTTGGATTTGTTGAGATCTATATTTCCTTCAGAAAATATTCCCTGGTCTTTACCAATTCGGTATAGTGAAGAAGATACTGTTTCAAAATGTGGTGAGATGAAACCCACCACACATTAAGACCAAACAGAAAAATGCTGACAAATCCAACCATACTTTTTTGGGGGGAAATTATATCAAAGGATGCTCTTTAAAAAATATTGGTGACCAGAGAGGAAATGTGGCATAGTAGTAGACTGTGCCAGCTTTCTGTGGAAGCCCTGCTGTTGTCATTCCAACAAATACACCCTCAGAAAGGTAAATGTCCTGCTTTGCCATGAACTTTATAGCAAAGTTAAACTGGAAATAACATATTACACCTAAATTTTCATGTGCCTCACCAGTTTGAGAGTACATATTAAGTCTGTTGATCCTTTATGTGTTAAATATAGAATAATAAAAAGTTGGTAAAAAGTGGGAGGTGAGAGATAGAGTGAGAACAGGCAGGAATTTAAAAAAAAACTATGAAAAGAAAGAAAAACACTCCCTCACCCCCAAATTGCTGCAGACAGAAAACCCTCATGTGCATCTGGTTCTTTTTGGGAAAAAAACAACACAATAATTTGTGTGTGAACATGTGGATAGTAGGCATCAGGGCTATGTGGCATCCTTCATCCTATATGTGTTCTGTTTTCATAACCCTCCTCCTTGGGCAGCAGCTCAGATTCCAACCATAACCCATACCCTCCGATCTTCAGCAAATCCAAACAGTGATGTATGTGGCCAAGCAATGTCAGGGTATGGTCAAGATGGAAAAAGTTATTAATGAGGAAGAACAGACAACCCACGCGAGGTTACTGTAGTGTGGTTTTGCCTACACCTACTGTAAAGGCTCTCTTCTCTTCACCTCCCACTGATTGAGTTAAAACTACTATTGCAGGCTGACCTCAATTTACAGCAATTGAAGTAAACTGGGACATTTTAAAAGCAGCTGAAAAAGTGGGTGAGAGGATTAATAGATACTGTCCCTGTTAGATTGGGGCAATTGGGGTGTGTGTAGATGAGGAGAGGGCCACGAAAGGAAAGCAACCAGAAGCATAGCCATAGAAGACCTAGACTCAGACACAGATCCACACATTAGGCCTGCAGTAAATTTGCCCAGCCACATATAGAATCATAGAATCATAGCACCCTAGAGTTGGAAGCGACCACAAGGGCCACCCAGTCTAATCCCTTGCCATACAGGAATATACAATCAAAACACCCCTGACAGATGGGCATCCAAGCTCTGTTTAAAAATCTCCAAAGAAGGGGATTCCATCACTCTCCGAGGCAGCCTGTCAAACAGCCTTTCCCACCAGGAAGCTCTTTCTAACATTTACGTGGAATCTGTTTACCTGTAGCTTGAATCCATTGCTTTGTGTTCTAGTCTCAGGAGCAGCAGAAACCAAGCTTGCTCCATCCTCAATGTAACACACCTTCAAATATTTAAACATGGCTATCATGTCACCCCTTAACCTTCTCTTCTCCAGGCTAATCATACTTGGATTCCTAAGCAGATCCTCAGAAGGCATAGTTTCTAGACCTTTCATCATTTTGGTCGCCCTCCTCTGGATATGCTCTAGCTTGTCCACATCCTTCTTGAACTGTAGTGCTCAGAACTGGACACAGTATTCCAGGTTAGGCCTGACCAAAGCAGAATAGAGTGGTACTATTAGTTCCCTTGATCTAGACACTGTACTCCTATTGATGCATCCTAGAATTGCATTGGCTTTCTTAGAATCTGCATCTATATCTAAACCCTTCTCCAAACTTCCCCCATAGGTATGCATACCTAGAACCCATACCCAGACAATTTATTTTGGCACTTAAAGCACATATTCCCACAAGTGACTTTCCCCCTTCTTGGCAATAAAAACAAAATACAGTTGGCCCTCGGTATCCATGGTACCCAGACTAAATACACTAGATCCTTTCTGATTGTGGAAGCTAAACAGGGTCAGTTCTGGTTAGTAATTGGATGGGAGATAGCCAATGAAGGTGCTGTGGGCTATATTTCAGAGAAACTGGCAAAACCAGCTCTGAGTGTCTGGCCTAAGAAAAATCTATGAAATTCATGGGGTTGCCATAAGTCAATAGGCAATAGGCAACCTGAAGTCTCTCTCTCTCTCTCTCTCTCACACACACGTATCTAATTACTCTTGAGTAAAACATTGAGTTGCATCCAGAATTAGGGAAGATCTGTCAAAATCCATGGGGCTTGTGGCCCTGTCTGCATGGGTCAGAATACTCTGGGGACAGTCCAGAGTATTCTGGCCCATAACTGCCCCAGCATCCCCCCATTACCTGAGGTCTTCTGTTGCAACTGCAAGTGGCTGTTTGCATGCATGCCCCACTGTGCTCCTGTGGCAAGTTACTTGCTCTGAGTTCAGAGTGAGGTGCCCAGCATTGATTACATAGCTGGGTGTCTCATCCTGACCCCAGAATGAGTGAGTCTTGCAGTGGTGGTGGCAGCAAAATGCACAGTGGTACTCATTTTAAACAGCAGCCCAACATTGCAACTGAGGATTTTGGATCTTCCAAGACCCTGGATTTGGTGCTGAACAGGCTAGACCTAGTCTGAACTGTTCACCTCAGAAGCGGGGTTTGGGCTATGCATCATCTGGACTCATACCAAGAGGACAGGGAGAGGACATTTTATTTGTCCCAAGACCTAAGTTAGCTACAGATAACTTAAGTCCTAAGAGATTATCACACCAGCAAAAAAAGACGGGAGCATAGAGGGATGCTCCCGTCAATATCGCACAATTTGGCAAAGATTATCACACGACATTGCTCATTGTCACAATTATCCCATGCTTATCCCATGAATAAAGAGGAATTCTAGCATTGCTTTTTATTCACCGAAAATCCCATGAATAAAAAGCAGCACTAGAATTCCTTTTT